CATCTAAATAGTGCTCTTTTGTTTTTCAGTAACGACATCGATTCTTGAAAAAAAAATATGAATTGAATAAAAAAAAATTTGTTTTTCGTCAAACGCGATAAAGTAATCCCATTGAAGAGGGCGCCCTAACTGGCAGCACTAAGGACTGCGGGCAGACACTTAATGATCTTGAACGTCCCTGTTAGGTTTAAAAGGAGTTATAAGGTGTCAATGGAAAGGTTGGGGTGAAAGTTCAAAATCGTAATACAGAATTGGCAGTAGAGGACATGTAGATGCTTGTGGTCAGAGGTACGTGGGTGGTGAGGGGGGCTAGGACTGCGTGTAAAGCCCATAGCGAGCCTCAGAGAGAGATGCAAGTGAAAGAGGCCATTGGATTCTGACAGAGAAGGAAGGTACGTTTATGATTTTCGTGAGAGGATAAGTACAAGAAGCAAGACATACTGAGATTGGAGTAGTGTCTGTGGTATGGGCTTGGAGTAGCCCGGAAGAGAGTTTGCTGTTGTACACTTTGGGGATATCCGTTTCGGTGATAGAGAGTCCGGTGATAGACATTTTGGTGTTAGACAATTTAGTGTTTGATAGTTTGAATGTAGACAATTTAGTGATAAACATTTTTGTTTTAGAAACTTTAGTGATACATAGTATGGGGAAAGACAGACAGGTTGGTGATAGAACAATATTGAAGGTTAGACCTTTAAAATAATATTTTTAACTGTTGAATTTATGGTGTTGTTAACGGTTGTTAAATTGTTGCATTCGTTGTCTTAGGCATATGCACGTGTTTAAATTAATTAATTTTTAAAAAACGTACACCTTTTGAAGAAAAAATCATTTAGGTCGCTAGTACATCTTAAGCTGCCGATAACTACAGGTTTATCAAACTCATAAGGAACATTGTTTAGAGTTAAGAGGCATCCTGTGACATCATCAGACGATCTTCTGACGTCATCTAATACGGTAGTTTCTGATTCCTGTAAGGTAAATTTTTATTTCATTTATTACATTTTTATGGTGTGTGTATGCACCATTTGGTGGACAAACTATAGCAGGTGTCAAAATAAACGGTGCATGAATGAAAGGACGAACAATAGTATCTGTCACATCTACAGCCAATCACAATCACAATCTAGTTATGATCTATAACAACAGAGGCGTTGTGGATCCAAGTGAACAGTGACTATACTTTATTAAAGTTTATTACATGCTAAAACACACTATCACAATAATGATAATAGTTAATAATTGAACTGATTCCAAAACACTTAGAATATTGCTTCTCAGGAACTTCTCTACTTGATAAGGATACCACCATACTATGACCAAATCTTACAACATAATATGGACTTAATAACCACCATCATTTCGTCTCCACATTTTTTCTTTTATAATTGGTTACTTTTTACCAAGTGCCCAAACTCTCCATATAATGATAATGATATATAATGATAATTCTCACATTACTTAACTCCCTTGTAAATCATTATCTCGTATCGGTCACAATCGTCTGTATCGTCTACACCTTTATTTCTTCCTAAAGAATCTAGCATGCACAATATTTTTGTTATGGTTTACCAAAAGTAAGAAATATACGCTGTAGAAGAATACTGCAATAAGTGTTTGGTACCCCGCTACTGATAATATGCCTCGTCTTGCCGATTCGCAAACCAACATATCAAAGTAAAGAAGGATTCAGCTAAAGCTAAACATTTACAGTTGAACCTTGGCGGATCTCAAAGTTAAACATGTGGCGCTTTCGTATTCCACACCTGTCAACACCTGGTTCCGTAAGACTAAGAACTGGACGGGGGCAAAGCCGCGTGAAATATTTCACCCAGGAAAGTTTTCCTGTAGCACCTGCGGCACGATCTAGAGCTGTTCTTCGGGTCCCATTAGCAACACTGTCTAGTCATGGGAATGTTTCTTGCACAACAGAACCTTCTCATTACAAAAGAAATCCACCCCCCCCCTTTTGCCCTATCCAGATGATGTCCCTGATGCTCGTTGTTACGATGGAGCAACACGTGGCTACTCCATGGGAAGATGATAGCAGCCAGAAAGTATGCTATAATCGTACGCTACACTGACAATAATCATATTTATTCATCCACAAACAATGATATTTAGTCAGTAGCAACCTTTCAATTGATTCTTTTCATTATAAAATTTAAGTGTAAAAACTTTTTAACTTGTAGATTAACAAGCCACAGATGTAATGAAATGTTTTTCCTTCAATTTTGTGTTTTTAAAAATACATCAGCAAAAATCGAATCGTATTTATAAAGCTATTTATATTATAATTCTTTTTTTAAAGGGGCAGGGGTATAAAATGTGACATAATTAAATAGGGGGGGGGGGTGCATGGACATTTTGAGTTGGTGAAACGGGGGGAGGGGGGTGTCAACATTTAAATCAAATTGTTGACGTAATTATTGGACGATGCTTTCTTAGCATTTAAACAAAAAAATCTTGATGCCAAATGGTCTCAATTTTAAAAAGTTGCTGTTTACGTCATAAACAATCAATTTATTTATCTTATTGTCATGTTGTTTTTTTTCCAAAAAGAAATAATATAAAATGTAAAAAGAACATCTCAATTTCGACACACACAATAAGCACAATAATTTATGATTATTTAGTTCAGTTTGGGAAAACTTTCTCTAAGGATTAACTCTATCAGTCCGATGATGAGACGTTACCTAAATTATTTATTGGCAAGTACTGCACACTAAAACGGATGAAAAGGAATGGTTAAAAAAAAAAAAAAGTTAAATTTTTTAAAAAGCGCCATAAAACAAGAATGAAAAAGCCGAGTTCTCTTTTTGCTGTATTTGCATTGCTACAAATTCTTCTGGGTAAGTGCTTGAAATAATGTTGTTTTTTTTTTTTTAAATAATAAACTTACAGATATCAATAGCCCAACAGTTTAATTATTTGACACAATAATGGCACGCAAGATTTTATAGGGCGACAAAAAATATTCATACACATTTTTTAAAAAATGTTTTTATTTTAATTCATCTTGGGTAATATTTCAAATCACACTTTTCATTCGCTTTGAAATCTTTTGTTTTTCAAGGTATCTACATATTCCTTTATGTTATGAAATAAAAAATACACCATTATGACTTCGATTAAGAGCTTATTTGAGAATCTAAATAGCTAAATAGAAACTTGTTATTTTATTTCAGTAAATAACCTCTTTAACTTGTTACCACAAGACTAAACATTAAACGTTACACCCTTCTATTAGTTTTTAGTGCTGTTTCCATAAATATAGGTGTCTTAAAACCTAAATATTAGGCGATCCATTAGCAGTAGGTAAGAAAACTAAATACCATTTTCGAAAACTGTCAAATTGGTAATGGGATATCTTGTGATATTCTTTATTAATTACAGTGAAGTTTAGATTACCAAGTGTAGCATTTAAGAAACAATTACTATACATATGTAATTAAACTCGAAAATATAATTGTAATTTCTGTCACAACATCGTTGCTCGTTGAAAAAAATATGAGGTCCTGCACCAGACAGCTATTGAAAGACTGTGTTGCGAGAGCCAGGGCTAAATATGGCAAAATATCGCAGAGTGTATGTTCCAAGCGACGTATCTGTTATAGTTATTAGAAAATTCAACAAGTCTGATCATATATTGCATATTTGTCTATTTGACTAAGTCTTGCCAATGGATCAAATAGCAATGGACGAGAGAGTGACATGAGACTAAAGAAAAATAATAATTTTATCCTTGTGAGTTTCATTCATGCAGGGAAAAAAAAGCTGAGCTACTTTCACATATAGATCCTCAGAAACAAAACTCAAGATAAAATCCCAAACATTAACATTTTAAATCTCTCTCCACCCCCTACCCCCCCACCCCCCTATGTCAGCCTATATACACATATGATATTGTCAATTTCCACTTTTTTTGAAAATCAAGGACCCTGTTACCCCCAAGGATTATTTAAAGACGAGCTTGAGAATGGCAAGTGGTGTGCTATTGATAAAGAGACTCGCTTCAAAGACGTCCTGATGAGCTCACTGAGTTTTCTGCATGAACAAAGGCACGTGGAGAAAAAGGCACATCATCCAGCATCGTGGCGCTCCTCCGTCCACAAGATCTCCATTCAAGATAAAGTTAAAATGAAAATTTGCTTTAAAAAATTCAATACAGCTGAGAAACGGTCGGGTTATTATTGCAAACGACATTTTTTTTAAATATAAGAATTGGTCTTAATGGCTTCAGACGGAAGGAGCGTCAACGACATCGAACTGCTTTAATGACACAGGATCACGGCGGCGCTAGTGGGTGGATGTGGCAGTCGCTACTTTCATAACATTATATATATATTATATATATGTTTCATTGTCTTTCGGGACTCCATCTCTGGGTTTGATTTCAGAGTTTCCTTCAATGAAACATTCCGACAACTCCTGCGATGTCACTTGTGCCAAGCTGTATCATCCAATAATGTTCCCTTGGGTTATCCAGCGGCGTGGAGAGATGGGATTTGCTGTTGGGATCCATCGTAAAATTGTGACGGACGGATGCCTGTAAAAAAAAAAATTTTTTTTATATATATGTGTAAGCTAGAGTAAGGCAACAAAACAATAACGGTGCCAATGCTGCGAGAACTTCCGGTGCACTCAAGTTACTCGACACAAAAATGCGCACCACTTACGCACCTTATCAAAAGTTCCCGTTAGAGCGAACTGACAATATTATTATGTCCGCCCACATAACACAACTTAACAGAAAAAACACATTCGTATCTTGAGAATTATATCTCGAAATAATTGTATGTGAATTTACGTGTGCACACAGTCTGTTCTTTATTTATAAAACGCGTCATTACACTGCCCTAGCGTTTCCTTCTCACGACGCTGTAGAGCATCGTAAAGTGAGTAACCAGTTGAAAACGTGTCCTTGTCATGGTTAACCCTTTCGATGTTTTATTTTTCTTATTTCCAGGAATACACGGCTTGGAGATTACTTTGGACGGGTTTGAAAACAACTACTGTCGTGAGCCAGGAAAGATCTGCAGAGGCCCTAACGAAGTGTTCAACATGACAGGAAGGATAATTCTAGAGGAAGGGGAGTTAATGCCAGCCATCATTTCCTACGAATACAAGTGTCCTGGATCGGAATTGTGTTATACTTATAATGGACCAGGTGAAATCTGGGATCGGGTAAGTTGTTTTACCTAATGAGAAAGAGAAATGTTACAACATATTTTGTTCCTACAGGTTTGTGCCATATGTGTGTCCAAGCAGCACCATTTCACAATTTCTAGAGCACATTGTGAATCGGTGAATACTACGATGGGTGGAAGTGTTTCGCGTCTGGCTAGCCGAAGGCGCTCTTGTCTCAGGCCCATTAATATAGCTTCGACTTCTGCAACTGTCGCAGAGCTCTTCGTGCCGTCCGGGCCTGAAATCTCCTCTGTTGGAGATACCCTCTTTGGTTACTGTAATGAGTGTGCCGCACCTGCCCGCTTCTCGATAGCGAGATAGGAGCCGTGTGTAAAGACTGATACCATGTGGTTTGTGTAGGCCTCAATGGAGCGTTATGCTAATCAGATAGCGGGTATTCGGAAAAATGACGTTTGGACAAATCACCGCTTTACTATACTATCTTACAAGCTTTAAACTAAATAAAGTTTGATTGTAAATACCTTACATAATATACACATAAACTGAATGGTTTCAAACAAATTAAATGAAGGTGCAACTATGCCCATGATGGCTGTCAGGGTTGTAAAATTATGCCGCCTGGCGAGATTTTAAAATTAGAGTAAATTAACATGACTGAAACTCCTAAAATGCTTACGATAGGTCAGTCCTCAATTTTTTTTTTTCAGTATTAAACGAATGAGGTCTTGCATAAGTAATATTGGTTTGTACAAAGCTCTGCAACAAAAAATAGAAATAGTCTTGCTTTGAGTAAAAATAAGATGGTCTTGCTTTGAGTAAAATTAAGATGGAAGCTGTCACATATCAAATATTGAAATAATAATTTTATTTCGGATAAAGTATTGTTTTTGGAAAGTTAGTATAAACAGGAAGTTAATACAAATGGTATAGTGGATGCGCACACGAGTAGTAAAGATGGAAGGTGGATATGTTAATTGACGATGGCTCTTTGCCATACATCTCATAACATCGTGTTACTTATTCAATAGATCTGTGTGAAAGTTATATAAAAAGCATTAAGATTTTATCAGTTATTGTTGGAAATTGACAAAATTCTGAATGCTAATTTCACATTGTTTTGCACATCACATAATTTATTATGTAGTGACGTCATGATTTTATGCTGTCTTGTCTAGTGCTCCATGTTGGTAGAGTTGGACTCCATGTTGTTCTCCTACAGTAAAACGTTGAACTAACCTTGATTGTTGCCTCTGCTTGTTTGATTATCTTCCTTGTGAAGGAACTTAGCAACTTAATATTTTCAACAGTTATATCTCCTCCAATTTCGGAGACTTGTTTATACAGTGTAATTTCTATGTAATAAATCTTGAAATTCTTATTCATGGAGTTCTGGCCCTCGTGCTTTTAAGTAATCATTGTGAATGTGGATAAATGTTAGAAGCAATAATTACAAGTACAAACAACATAATTTTCAGGCAAAACCAACAACGTTACAGAAGCATATTTGTACCTGCTTAATTAAGTATTGAACAATGTGTACTTCTATTTTCAGTTACTATACATAGCTGCCGGAAAATGTGATGATGAGACTCAGTTTTATGGATGCAAACTAATAAGCGGAAGAACCTACCGCCACTTTGTTTTTGAGAACATGTATTATTACTTTAGATTGTGCACAGTTAGGGCCCGGATGATGGATCAACAGGTTAACGAGAAGCTGACCTCGATAAATGCACATGTCAGCAATGAATTGAAATTTTCAGATTACAAAAGTAAGTAGAAACCATATTTCTAATTCAATTAATTAACCTGTACACAAACCTAAATTAAGTCCATTTTCGGAGAATTTCTCTTCTTTGTAAATGTTAAAACTGGGACTTGAGAAATACTTGTTATGCATAAATACTATAATTGTCTATGTAGTAAAGAATGTGATTATATATTTCTAGAGGTAAGCTATGGAGCTGGATCAAATGCGGTATCTCTCTTCTGAATTTTTTGCTATTTGAATGCGTATCTATTTGCATGGATAAATAGACGTCTTGTTTTAAAATGAAACAACGGTTCGTAAATATGAAATACTTATGTTGTGCAAAAATCGACACAATCATAATTTCGATTAATGATGTTTTGACACGCACAAGCGACTGTCAACACAATGTTCTACGGATGTTTGATGTTCATCCTTCTCATGCGTAGATGAACGAGCCTGTATTTCACGGTGAGCAAACAGGTGACTTCAGTATCCTAGTTTTGCTGCTTGGAAAGATGGTCGAAATGTGTTTTTGTGGCTCTAGCGGGATTTGAGGTTGTCTTGCATTACCTCACCGCTCGCATTCCTTGGCCGTAAGCGGTGCATTGTACTTTCTAAAGATTGTACTCCAGAAGTGAGTCGTCCTCACAAACATGTATTATCAATAGAAACTATTTTCCTATGAATTCAGGTCGATGCCCATGGATTTCAGTTGCACTCTTAGACAATGTTTAAACAGGCTTTATCTCTAACAGGTACTGCTGGGAGTAACAATTATATATCCATAAATTGTGCAATTTTTCCTTTATTGAATCTAGATCATAGCAGCTACTCTTTAGAGGAGGAAGAAGAATTTCTCAGGATTATCGGCGATGATCCAGAATGTGATCCCACGAGGACTTCTAAAAATGGCGTAGACAAAATTAATCTTCCAGGTATTACCAGGTTCATTTAAAGATAAGCGCTCATAATTTTTTATTAGTTACAAGTATTGTGTCTCTTTAGGGTGTAGATGACATTTTCTAAAGGGCATATATAAAGGTGTTTCCATAGCGTGTGCAGCTGAATGAGTTTATGTAAGGTACAGATGACGGTTTTATATATATAGTTTATATAAAGTGTTTTCTATAGGGTGTAGATAAATGTGTTTCTATAGAGTGTAGATAAATGTGTTCACATAAGGTACTGATAAATGTGTTTCTATAGGGTGTTGACAAAGAATAATTTGTGTGTATGTCAAGCCGCAATAAAGTACTCATATTATTACGCAATAAATCACTACTTATTTTTGCAACTATTTGTTATATTGTAAAAGTATTGAGAGCAATAATACAATGTAACTGACTATGTCTTGGGGTTGATGGAATAAGATAAAATATCATTTTGTTAAATATTTAATTTTGTTATACTTTAATTCATTCACAGATGCTTTATTGATCATATTGGGATCAATAATGGCCTTCAACGTAATTGTTATCTTCTAGCAAGTGTCAAGTTCACTAGAACATGCAGTTCAAAAAAAAGGATTGAAATAGTCAAGTCGTAAGCTGAAGAATGAAGACATTTTAATATTATAGATAAAAAAAACTAACCAGCCTTATCATTTCATATAGATTATTCTAAGATTTTGAAGGCGATAGAGACAAAATAAATTTATCAACATGCAACATATTACCTAAGGTCTATTCTTAGGTAAATTGATATTTATCTATGAGATAATGTTAAAGATGTTAGTAAGACACATGATAGTGTAAGATATAAGGGCCAAACAATCATATCGATTGCTGGTTTGTACTGCAAACCTAAGATTAAAATTTATTTTTTTTTTTTTTAATATTTTGCCAACAGATATTTCCAACAACAATTCGTCAAGTCAAACTGAAAATAAAAACTAAAAATTAAAGGGAGTGCATTGAAATAAATGTTTTAGAAGATTTTTGCCCTTATTAAATTATTGCGTAGTGGGGGTAAGGGCAGACCTTAACATACACATATTAAAAGATGTTCGCTGATATCTTACACTCATTAAAAAGCAGCATATTTATATTGAACAATTAACTTGGATAATGCATTTAACACATTATTTTAGCTATACCTTTTTCATTAAAATAAAGTTATGAAAAATTCAGGTTTTTGAGATTAAAATATCTCTTTGCAATTATAACGTGTTTTTTAATATTAATTTTTTCTGTTTACCCTTGTTCAGTTACTGGTAATTTGATTGAAGCATTTTTCTTTGTTCATTGAGCAATAAAACAGAACATAGTTGACATAAAATGTATCAACTAAAATTGTAAAGTGGTCTCAACGGTCAAGGGAGATATACTCATATGGCAAAGTTTGAAACACTCCTATGGTAAAGTGAGATACACTTCTATGGCGAAATGTGATAAACTTCCATGGTAAAATGTAATACACTACTAAAGTAAAAATTCATTTTTTTGTTGTTAAATTGCCTTATTTCGTTAACAGTTGGCAAAGGCTTGTGTTAGTTGTCATTATGTTCTTTTATTTTTTTTCTCTCAGACCCCAGAGAATTAAAACCAAAAAAATGTGCTTACATGAACACAATAATAATTCAAGAAGTTACTTTGCTGACATGTGCACAAACTTAATTGAGTTAACAGCTGTGCTGACATGTACGCAATCTTAATTCAGTTGACACTTGTGTTGACATTGACACAATATTAATTCAATTAACATCTGTGCTGATGAAAAGGACAAAATTATAATTCAATTACTGTTAATTGCGATAGCGATGGTTAACTTTATGTTAAACTATAGGGGTTGCATCCTGTTTGTTATTTATAGGGATGACTCACTGTAAGATAACTATAAAGTTGACTACTTTATGTTAACAATAGTTGTCACATACTTTATGTTAACAATAATAGTGACAAGACAGTTTTTTACAGTTTTAAAATTATTTAAAGGGGAATAATAATACCTCTTTAAGATTAACATCTAAACACAATTATTATTGTTTTATCCAATGCCCAGTTCCTTCCGTTCAATGGATTGCAATGTATTTTATAGAAAAAATATCTATGATTACAAATGTAGTAAAATTATTCTCTCATAGACTTTCAAAATTGATCTTATAGACGTGAATTCCGCTATCGTTGTCCTACGCTAAGTGTGTTTTTAGAGTGTTGTAAGTGGTTCTTGAGAGCATGGTAAGTGGTTCTTGAGAGTATGGTAAGTGGTTCTTGAGAGAATGGTAAGTGGTTCTTGAGAGTATGGTAAGTGGTTCTTGAGAGTATGGTAAGTGGTTCTTGAGAGTATGGTAAATGGTTCTTGAGAGGATTGTAAGTGATTCTTGAAGTATGGTAAGTGGTTCTTGAGAGTATGGTAAGTGGTTCTTGAGAGTATGTTAAGTGGTTCTTGAGAGTATGGTAAGTGGTTCTTGAGAGTATGGTAAGTGATTCTTGAGAGAATGGTAAGTGGTTCTTGAGAGTATGGTAAGTGGTTCTTGAGAGTATGGTAAGTGGTTCTTGAGAGTATGGTAAGTGGTTCTTGAGAGGATTGTAAGTGGTTCTTGAGAGGATTGTAAGTGATTCTTGAGAGGATGGTAAGTGATTCTTGAGAGGATGGTATGTGGTTCTTGAGAGGATTGGTAAGTATCTCTTACAGGATGGTAAGAGTTTCTTGAGAGGATGGTATGTGTGTCGTGAGAGAATGGTAGATATGTCGTGAGAGAATAGTAAGTACGTCATGAGAGGATGGTAAGTACGTCGTGAGAGGATGGTAAATATGTCAGAAAGGATGTTAAATTTGTCGATAGAGGATGGCAAGTATTTCGTGAGAGGATTGTAAGAGTGTCGACCAAAAGAACTAGAAAATTGGAGATTAAACGTGCAAAAGTAAAAACATAATTTTGATACAAAAGATCATCTGTTAAGCCACGAAAAGTTGTCAAACAATGCGGCAAGAGAAACGTTTTCAACACTTAATTTGATGCAAAACCATACAATGAAAAATATGTATATTATAGTGTAATCCTTCTTTACAGTGTAATTTATCTACATTCAGCGTTATATGCCATAATGAATGTTAATAAAAAATCGTTTTTATGGCGGCCGAATGTTCATCATGCAATCCCCACCAAAGCCCAGACAATCAAAAAAACATCTCTAGCGCCCCAGGTGGATGATTACACAATAACCATGAATGGCAACACATTTAATAGAAGGAAACTCTAAATTCAAAGCCAAAGGTTGAGTCCCGTACAGTGAAACAAACCAACAGCGCCTGCTACGCCACTGGTCCCAGGCTGTATAATCCACATGAAGTTTCTCTGAGTCATCCAGTGACGTGGAGAGAGGTGATTTGCTGTTGGGAACCAGCTCAATCCTAGAAAAAAAAAATCCTAGGCCTTTCGTCCGGCGAAGTCTGCACCATGGTCCAGCAAAAATAATCATTTTATTTGTATTAAAATTCCACTTGCTTATATTAATTTCACTTAACATACAATGTGTACTCCAATAAGCTTTGCACACTTTTTTGCTTGTCGTGTGTTTTCTTGACTTCTCAGAAAGGTCAATGAAGTGTCAAATGTGGGAAATCCAAAATTGCAGAAATCTGCTATAAATTACATTTTTTAGTTGCTATTTTAGTTTGGGGTTGGGAGAAGGGAACAAAGGCTATTTCTTCAGTACAACATTGTTATCAAATATAATGTAGTGAGGGTGCACTTTTGATGAAATAGTTGAGATAGATTACATGTTTACTGTGGAAGTACCAACGAAATTTGTTATCCATGCGTCATGGTCTTAGCTACGCGTACAGATAACGCAAAGACACTTTTCTACTGACATCATGAAGACGCGTTATTTTTTCACGGATTTCGAACTTGTGTGTAAAGTATTATAAGACTCTGGCTTAGAGAGTTTTACGTTAGCGACGAATCTTAAACACAGGATAAATTAAGTAGATCCTATTCTAAAACCTTTCAATAGTTTCTTGATAAATTGAAGTGAAAGATGGTCAATGTTAAAATATTCAAAGAATCTAGTTGTTCCCGGGAAAATGATAAAAGAAGTGAATTTCAATGTTTTTTTTTTAAAAATAAGATGACATATTTTTTCTGCAAAAAAGAGGCAAATAAATACATTTTAAAGATATTTAATTATTTCTAATTAACATTTTATAGAGATATTATTATTTCCAATTCACATTTTTTTAGACATCTTAGTATGTCTAAGTTACATTTTATAGATATATAATTAGGTCTCATTTATATTTAACCAGAAAAATACCCGCGCTTCCCAGCGGAGAGCCATTTTTTAAAGAAAAAAGGTAAGAAATATCAATTATCCGCATATTCCGGAGACTATACAATGCATACCCTTGCGAAAATCAATCCTGTAGGGTCTGTCCTAGAGACCCCTTTCCTGGTGTGACCACAATTCTAATGAATCCTAAATCCCATTCTGAACTCGATCCCGGCATAATCCCTTTTCCCGGTGTGATCCCGTCCACGGTGGGATCCTATTTTCTTGTGGCTCTGGATCCAAGGGGAATAAAGATCCCATTGGTATCCCGATCCCCTCGGTGTCTTGATCCCAGGGGGTTACCGAACCCGTTAGGGTACTGTTCTCCTGGCATTTTCAGACAACGGACTGTTTCCTTTGTACTAGCTACAATGTTGTCTACGCCAGGCAGATGTACAGAGCACCTCAGTATTATTACACAAGATATACATTTCCTTCATCTTTGAACATTGCAATGGAAGCGTCCACAAGTGCACGGCATGTTCCATCATCAGTGCGGTCGTGACCAGCACATACAGACACCAGCTAGGTGAATTTGGAAAAGAAGATTTTTAGGTTAATGGAACCTTGACACCATAGCTATAAATTTAAACAAGTAGAATCTGGAAGGAGGTACACGAGTGATTGCATTGTACAAATTTCCCACTGGCAGTAATCTCGTTAAACAGTTTAAAAGTAACATATTAACTGCACTGCAATTGAAATAATTGGTGAAATAAATTACCCAGAAAATGAAAGCTGATTTTCTTCATTCAATGTTGTTCATTTTTTATCCGTTTTATTACGCCATTAAAAACAATATATTGTGTTTGCTTTGCAAAGAAAAAAAATCTAGACGCCAAATTGTCTCCATGTTGAAAAGATGCTGTTTTCGTCATGAAACATCCGATTATTTATCGTATTGTGTTCTCGGTTTTTTTTTCCCAATTAGAAATAATATAAAATATAAAAAGCTTATCTCAATTTCGACACACAAAATATACACACCAATTGTTCATTATTTAGTTCAGCACGGGAAAACATCTCTAACGATTATCTCAATCATTCAAATAATAATTATTAGCAAACTGGGTACTAAAACAGAAGCAAACAATAAATGTTAAAAGGAACAACTATTCAACTAAAGATTTTTATTAAGCGCCATAAAAATAAGAATGAATCAACTAAGTTCCCTCTTTGCTCTTTTTGCCTTCTTACAAAGGCTTCTTGGTAAGTACTTAAAATATTTAGTTTTAAAAAGAATAAGTTTACAGATATTAATAGCCCAGATGATTTATTTTTTTTTTGGACACACTAACGGCACGCTAGGTTTTATAGGACGACAAACGAAATTTCCTAAACTATTTTCTTAAATTCGTATTTTTTAATTCAACACAGGCACAATTTCAAATGGTGCAGTCAATTCTCCACAAAACCTCCTGATATTTTCGACATATCTTCATATTCATTACAACATTTTAAAAAAATATACCATTTTGAACTTCGGTTAAAGAACTTAATTGATAATATAAAATTAGCTAAATATAACATTCTTGTTTTGTTTCAGTAGATTATCTTTATATCTTGTCATTTCAAGGCTAAAAAATTTTTAAATTACGCGCTATTATTAATGTCTAATGCTGTTTCGATGAATATATTTGTATAAAAAACTAAACATAAGGTGATCCAAATAGAAAACTCCGATCATCCGATAGTGGCAAACTATTGATACCACGTGTTCGCCTTGAGACTTACCGGAAGATGCACGTTCGCATTTCCTGGCCCAACACTTTGGAACACAGTTCCTGTCACTCTCAGAAAAAGCCAGACTCTGGAGTTTTTCAAAACTGATTTGAAAACATATCTTTTTCAAACACCTGTTGAGGGGAGTTTGTCTACCATGTTTTCCAGCTAACTATTATCTCCTAGATGTAAAGTGGCCTGTGTTGTTTATGGTTGCAAGGGATGAAAGACTTAGAATGGATATTCTCGTATGTAGTTTTTGTAACGATGCGTTTTGAATTTCTATGTGGCAAAATATATATTTTTTCATTTCTTTTTAATATGGATGACTTTTTACCGCGCTTTGAGCCCTTGGGAATGAAGCGTGATTTTCAAATACTATTTATTATTATTATTATTATTATTATTATTATTAGGCGTGAAAACTAAATAAAATTTTTCCAAAGCAGTAAAATTAGGTACCAGGTATCTTGGGTATTCTTTATTAATTACCCCGAGAGTTAGACTAGTAAGTGTAGCACTTAAGATATATTTAATTGAACTGGCAAATATATATCAATTTCTATCATACAATTTTTGGGCGTTTCGACACATAATGAGGTACTGCACCAGTCAGCTCCTGGAAAGTCTTACTCAGAGCCCGAAATTGAAATGCTCAAATTTGTAGAGAGATCCTCTCTCTTCGGTACCATGAACATCGCTGATGAGGTGATCCATCATGTTGCAAGGGCGAGGGCGGCATATGGCACAATATCAAAGATTGATTGTTCTAAGAGTCGTATCTAGTATAACTATAAGAAAATTCAACAAGTCTTGTCACCTACTGCGTCCTGTTCTATTTGACTAAGTTTTGCCAGCGGATGAAATAGCGGTGGATGAGAGAGTGACACCGATGAATTTTAAAAAAAAATCTTCTTCACAGTAATCAAAATACAGCTTAACTCAAGGCTACTACTCAAGTGGAACCCGCGGTCATCTTCGCATGCTACTGACGTACGATAACAATAACTTTGTGACTTGTGGTCTATACAGTCATAAAAAAAGCTAAGCTACATTCACATAACGAGCCTCAGAGACAATACTCAGTATAAAATAAAAGGACAGGGTCCAAAACATTAACATTTTAAATATCCCCTTTAGCATCCATACAATTAAAATGATGTCATTTTTCTACGTTTGAGACAGAGTGACAGACCCCGGTTACCCCAGACAATATTTCATGACGAGCTTGGCAAGTATCGTAGTGGTAGTAAAGAGGCACGCTTCATAGACGTCTTGATGGATTAATTGTACTGCATAAACAAGAACACTGATGAGATAAAGAAAAATCCTCCAGCAATGTTGCGCTCCACCTCACACACAACATCCCATTCACGAAGTTAATTGAAAGAATCTGCTGAAAAGACATTTTAATACAGTCGCGAAATGGTCGGGTTCCTATCACGCATGACAACATTTCGTTACAAGAATAGTTCTTAATTGCAACGGGCAAAAGCAGCGTCAACAACGTCAATTGATTAAATAGAAACAAAAACTTGTCGATTCTATGGGCACATGTACACATCAGCGAACAGCACGCACCTTCGTACACAACACTCAAACTTGCACATTAAATGCACAACTATTTGCTTTTGTGTCACAGCATCAGGACCGTGCGAATTGATGGATTGAAACAGTTTGTTTATATAAATATATATATATATATATATTAAATATATATATGATATGTGTGTGTGTAAACTAGAGTTAACCCACAAAACAATAACGGTGGCAATGCTGCATCTATTTCCCATAAACTCAAGTTACTTAAGACATAAATGCACACTAGTTACACACCTTAAAGAAACGTTCCTATAAGTGCTTACTGCCAATATGCAAAGTGCGTCTTCCAAACACAAGTTTTCAGCAAAACACATTCATATCTAGAGACATATATCTTACTAGATATAGCTAAACAATCATGGGTGACAGCAATGCATGAAATTCCCATTTATTAAAGTTACTTGACAAAACGTGAACTCAAGTATCTCACATTTATGAATCCGAAATCGTGGATTAGAGAAGCAGTCCATTGGGAAGCACTAGATACGCCAGAAGCTTAATATACATAAGATAATAAGAGACTCGTGGACTGCTTCCTAATGGACTTCCTCCTAATCCAAGAATTCGGTAATGAGAGTATATTACAAGTAAGTTTATATGTTCGAAAGAAAGTATGGTTCAATGATGAGCTCAATAGCACGCAAACATAATTCACGAAAACTACGCTAAAGGCAATATATATATATATATATATATATATATATATATATATATATATATATATATATATATATATATATATATATATATATATATATATATATATTTATATCTCGAGACTACGTAGAAAAAATTGGGATTCTTAAATGTGCCTTACTTGAGTTCAAGTTATGTCAAGTAACTTAAGTAGATGGGAAGTTCACGGATTGATGTTGCCAATGTTTGGCGGGCTGTATCTAGTATATATATCTATATATACATATGAATAGCAATATTTATTTATTTATTTTATTTAATGTGAATTTATTTGTCTAAATAGTATGTTCTTTGGTTACAAAACTCATATTTACACCGGAATTACCTTTTTTCTCAAGACCCCGAAGAGAATTGCGAAGTGACTAACCAGTTCAAAACATGTTTTATTTTTTTTTTCTTTAAGGAATACACGGATTGGAGATCACTTTGGATGGGTTTGAAAACATCAACTGTGGTAAGCCAGGAAAGGTATGCAGGAGCGCCCTTGCAGCGTACAACATAACAGGAAGGATCATTCTGGGTGAAGGGGAGTTAATGCCACCCTTTATTGCTTATGAATATAAGTGTCCTGCAACAAATCATTGTTTAACTTTCGAAGGACGCGGTGAAGTCTGGGATCGGGTAAGATGTGTTACATAATGGTCAAAAATAAACCTAACAACATAGTCGGTTCTTACTCCTTTACACAGTCGTTTACAACTATTTCATTAATTGCACCGTGTGCAATATCGGTTGACTAAGTCTCTCATGCCAACAAAGGTAACACATCTATTTTCTAATTGGAAAAAAAAAAAGCAAAACGTAAGAAGTTTTCCAAAGAAGCACAAACGACTTCTATGTATGTTTAAGATATAATTTTTGAAGTGTGCCCATTTGTAGTGAATAGTTACTGGCTTCATTGTGGTGGAACTGGGGTTGCGGAGAGTACCAGATGTGACCCTAAAGGGGAATGGGTGATGAGTCTAAAGGAAATATTGAAATTTTCTAGAGCTCTCTCAAAAGATGACTTGAAAAAAAAAGAATTAGTTTACATACTAAAGCATGGTTCTCTCAGATAGGGGGACCACCAGAGAAGAGTGCCAACAGAAGTAGGCCCAAAATAAGTGAGCCACGATATAAGAGGGTCACCAGATAAGACTGCCACCAGATAAAAGCCCCACTAGGTAAGATTGCCATCAGACAAGAGTACCACAATATAACGAGTAGGATAGCCCTTAAGTTGGCAGACTCTAAGTAGGTCTGAGGGGAAGTCTGTAGGGAGTGACACCATGAGTTTGCCGCAGTGGGTAACACCAACCAGGGGTGGGGGCGGTACTCCCCTGGAATGTAATTCTTCCTCTAAATGTGTGCCGGCATAGTTGGCCGATTTCAATGGAAATAAATGGATTATGGAGATTAAACTGCTCAAGGCATGAGTATATTGTTCATCAAATTCTACTCACTGGAATAAGATACTGGAACTCTGAAAGTGTAGATAGCCCTTTAGTCTCACCTTATGAAAGAGTCGTAGTGTAGGGGGAAAAGGGAGAGAAGTCGAACAAAATGATTACACAACAAGGGAAGGTATTTTTTTTGGCAATACTTTTTTCTTAGGATGTGGATTGACAAGATATAACAAGCTCAATGCTGGACTGTCTAAAAGCTTTAACAAACTTCACTAAAACAATTGAAAAATGATACGGTAGCCTTCATATGTTCGCTAAGATTCAGTGAACATGTAATAATATTAATGAAAAAATAGAGAAATTTTACATCCAGAAGATAGGTTTTAGGAGAAGCAGGGAATTCTTTATACAAACTATTAAAAAACGAATAAAACTTCCTATTAAGCCGTTCTAACCTTATGCTAAGAATTTTTTCTCAAGTTTTTTATTAAAAAAATTCAAAACTCTCTTTAATATTTACATGATGGTTTTACTGATTTTTTTTCTATGCCACCCCATTTCATATTTTCCCTCAAACCATTGATTGTTTGGTCTTATAGTAAGTCGATGACTGCAACTGTGAGTTTGAAACTTGTTATGTGTTTGCGCTCTAAATGTTACTTCCTCTAATAAATGGTCAGATTAAGGCGTTTGTGGATTTGTTACAGACTACATAAGGACAAAAAGCTATCTATGTATTGTACACATAAAGAGATAGATCAATGGAGTACTACAAGCCAGGGGCACCTTAATCAAAGGGGGCCAAGGACTAAAACAGTATAGAGACGGGAAGCGAGAGTGGAAACCGCTCGAGTACGCAATGCCCTAGCCCGTTCGTCTGAAAAAGTTGAGCAATAGGAAGCTAGACGTGACACCGATTGTTTACGCTCTCCTCGATCCAGACGAGCACTGCACGCTTACAATAAATCTTAGTGCATTCCAATTCGATTGTAATTACGATTATAATCTTCATCCAAGTGGGTTTTTTGAAAAAAATTGGTAAATTATGCGCGTATTGCAGAGCCCTCAAATTTAAGAATGAAACACCGGAAATGTGCAGTGCGGGTGGGGAATTGAAATTCCCAGAATTACATTCACCACCCGAATCATTATCAACATTATTATCAGGTGACATAAGCCAAATGAAACATTAATTGGAAAACATACGCAAGCACAAATCATGTTTCCAAATGGCATCGTTCAGTGCCTGTAACAGACCATGTTTGCACACGAAACCATTAAGTCGGGGAGGTGGCAAGAGTTGAATAGTGAACTCTATTAACGTGTATTATTTCACGGTAAAGGAGAGAGCATTATATTTTTGTACGGCGAAAGTGAGCCGCACGTTTTTGCGTGATCAGTCGCAGTACCTCTCATGTCGAAGGGAAGGGAAGACGTCTTTAACTTTCTGTCATGTGAATTTTCTATAAAGCCATGGAGTATTATATATTTATACATGTGTGAGATCCTTGATTCTATTACCTGGATATTTGTGCAATGATTATTATTATTGTTGTAGAAAAGTGATGTAATAAAGTACTGTGAATTTAACTGGAAAATGATGTCTACTTCTTGTGTGACAGACTGAAAGAGTTAAGAGGTGAAAGAGTGAAGTAAACATTACATTATATGAGCTGGCATCCTGAAGCACGAGATATAAGTGAAGTAGTTAACCATGCTAACACAACGCACTAAAATTAGCATGTGTTACAGTGCCACAAATATCGTAGGCGATTATTACATGCCAATATTTAAATTGCAAGGGCAAATTTATTATCTTGCAGGATCACTACTACAACTGCCGAAAACAGATCACGAACCTCTTCAAATTTATTTATGGGTAAGAATGATAAACAAATCGATTAAGTTGACAAATAAATACGGGCACTAAATGAGAAATTGTCACTGATTGCAAACTTTTATTTTCAACACAAGGAATTAAGTCAATTGTCCAGAATTTCTCTTTAACAAATGCCAACTGATGCCGACAAAGTTGTAGTTATAGCAGACAAATGTCATTTCGGCCAACAAGAAAGACAATACAATGCACCAACAATCGATGAAGTAGCGATCGTTATAGTTGGCGAAGAATTAACGTACATGATATAATTCTTCCTTTTTGGAAAATGGTGATATACATCGAGTCTCAGAAATTCATCACGCATACAATGGATTGCAATATCTAATTTTATTTTGGCAAGGAGAAATGGATATTATTTCAATATTAAATACAAAAATTCACAAAAAGCTGAGGAATCGAATAAGAAAGTAAGTGCCATGAACTACTATTCGTGTCGATTGATAATCTATGAGAGTGCCGAAAATCGTATCTTGAAATGTCGACAATTGTTCTATCAATACATTGTTGATATGTATGCGAAAATAGAAATTAAACGGTTCCTCTAAAATGCTTTCCGAAGAGTACATTAATTTACGTGATGCAGTTACGAATGATGGCCATGTGAATCCAAATGAATTGAGGAAAAGTGTTATACTACTGGCCAACGTTCCCATTGAGCTGCGCTTCATCGTACACTAAAAGTTTTGAGAGGAAATGAAAAGCTCTTCAGATGAAAAGGTCTTCAGTGGCGAGCTCATTGTATTGCCTAATGATTTTCGACAAGCTTTATTAGATATGCCACGTTCAACGGCTGCTGATCAATTAAATGAATGTCTCAAATCATCAGTTTTGTGGCGACATGTACGGGAATTGACTTTGAAATCCAATATGCCTGTACAACTACACACTGTTTCATCCGCTGAACGTTTCCCAAAAAAAAATTGTTGGACATTGGGAATGGGAAAAGGGAAATCGATGAATTCACACAATGTTTTACACTGCCAAGAAGCTTCTTTAAAATTACAGCAACCACCTTCAAATTGATTCATAAAGTTTTTTTTTTTCCAAATGTTGCACAAAATTACAAAAATCATCAGTGTCTAAGTGCACGTACTATATTAGCAGCCAAACAAAAACAAAGTCAATGCCATCAGCTTAAGGATTCAAAATGAAATAGCAGGCGCAACAACAAAGTGAAAGTCCATCGAAGCGGTATTGAATCAAGACGAAGTTTTCAATTATCCATCGGAATTCTTGAATTCACTTGACTGGCCAGGCATCCCATCGCACCATTTAACTTTGAACATTGGCGTGCCTATCATTCTTTTATGAAACATAAATCCACCACGAATTTGAAACGCTACCAATCTTTCAGTGAAAAACATGATCAACAATATTATCAAAGCTACTATTTTAAATGGAAAATGTGAAGGAAGAGATGTACTGCTGCCACGTGTTCCAATGATTCCAACATATATGCCATTTGAATTCAAACGTCTGAAGTTTCCGGTGCGAATCGCATTTGCAAAAGCCATTATTAAAGCACATTGACAATCGCTACAGATGTGTGGAATAAATTTGGAAAACCCATGATTCGCCCAAGGACAGCTGTATGTAGCCTGCTCTCACGTCGGAACACCTTCTGATTTAATCGTGTATGCAACCACACGGAAAAAAATGTGTATTTAAAAGCTCTTTCATGAAGCATAATTAAATCGCAAAGACTCTCTTTCTTTGAGTGGCATTGCAACGCATGCTGGGTACTTGCTAGTATAAAATATTTGAAGGAGCTATCATGCCCATGATGCCTGTTAGGTTTGAAAAAATATGCCGCCTGACGAGTGTTTTAAAAAAAAAGAAGACTTTTTTTAGCATGGTTGATCCTCCAAAACGGGTACGATAAATTAGACACCAATTTTTGTTTAATGGTTAGCTATTGTTTTATTATTGCTTTGTCGAAAGGTCTACAATAAAAATAGAAATAGTCTTGCATGGAGTAAAAACAAGATGGAAATCATATTTAAATCTAATTAATTAATTAATTACAGAAAATGTTGAACTTCTGTTTTCAGGTTCTAATCACAGATGCCGGAAAATGCAATTATGAGACTAAGACTTATGGATGCAAGCTAATAGGCGGAAGAGCCTACCGCCACTTCTATGAGTCGATCATGTATTATTACTACAGATTATGCACAGTTAGGGCACGGATGTTGGACAAAATAGTTAGCGCGAAGCCAATCCCGATAAATGCACCGGGAATTAAGCATGTCAGCAATGAACTGAAAATGTCCGATTACAAAAGTAGGTAAACCATAATTTTTAATGCAATTAATTAATCTGAAAACATACATAAATTCAGTCCATTTTTTGATAATTTTTTATTTGTAAATTTTAAATATTAAAATTGAGACTTACGACACACTTGCTATACATAAATACTATAAATATCTCGGTTGTAAAGAAAGTGATTATATTTCTATGGGTAAGCTATTAATGGAGGTGGATAACATTTTATTCTTTTTAACAAACATTGCAACGGTATTTCTCTTCTCAGTCTACTATTTGAATAAGTTTCTATTCGCGTGTAAAAATAGACTTCTTCTTTTAAAATGAAACAAGGGGTTGGTAAAACAATATTGAGCTTAAATTGACACAATCATCATTTCGCAAAATGATTGTTTGACATACACAAGCGTATGTCAATAAATAGATATACCGATGTTTAATGTCCGTCCTTCTCATGCGTGTATGAATAAGCCCGTATTTCACGGTGAGCGTGCATGTGACTGCAGTGTCCTATTTTTGCTGCTTGGAAAGATTGTACAATCGTCTTGTTGTGGTCCAAACGTGATTGGAGGCTATTCTGCTTTGCATCACTGCCCTGATTCCTTGCCCGAAAGCGGTACATTTACTTTCTAAAGAGTTCACTCCAGAAGTTAGTCTGATTAACACTCTGAAGCTTATACTCCAGAAGTGAGTATTCCTCACCGACATGAATTATCAATAGCATTTTTTTTCCTGTGAATTCAGGTCAATGACCATGAATTTCAGTTGCACTCTTTGAGAATGTTTAAATCGTTTTTATATCTAACAGGTGCTGACATGAGCAAAATTATTTTTCTATAAATTGTGCAATTTTTTCTACATTTAATCTAGATGATAGCAGATACTCTTTAGATGACAATGGAGTTATCGAAATTGCAGAGGGCGATGATCCATGTATGCACATAGATAAATCTAAAAATGGCGTAGACAAAATTTATCTACCAGGTATTATCAGATTCATTTAAAGATTTGCAGATACACGTCCATCGTTTTTATAACTTACAAACATTTTAAAGATTGTGTCTCCTTAGGGTGTAGATTTAATGTTGGCTATAGCGTGTAGATGAAGGTGTTCCTATAGGGTGTAGTTAAAGGTGTTTCTACAGGGTGTAGATAAAGGTGTTTCTGTAGGGTGTAGATAAAGGTGTTTCTCTAGGGTGTAGATAAAGGTGTTTATGTAGGGTGTAGATAAAGGTGTTTCTGTAGGGTGTAGATAAAGGTGTTTCTATAGAGTGTAGCTAAAGGTGTTTCTGTAGGGTGTAGATAAAGGGGTTTCTACAGGGTGTAGATAAAAGTATATCTATAGGGTGTAGATAAAGGTGTATCTATAGGGTGTAGATAAAGGTGTTTCTATAGGTTGTAGCAAAAGGTGTATCTATAAAGTGTAGATAAAGGTGTTTCTATAGGGTGTAGCTAAAGGTGTATCTATAAAGTGTAGATAAAGGTGTTTCTATAGGGTGTAGCTAAAGGTCTATCTATAAAGTGTAGATAAAGGTGTTTCTACAGGGTGTAGATAAAAGTGTATATATAGGGTGTAGATAAAGGTGTATCTATAGGGTGTAGATAAAAGTGTATCTATAGGACGTAGATAAAGGTGTTTCTGTAGGGTGTAGATAAAGGTGTTTCTGTAGGGTGTAGATAAAGGTGTTTCTATAGGGTGTAGACAAGGGTGTTTCTATAGGGTGTAGATAAAGGTTTTTCTTTAGGGTGTAGATAAAGGTGTTTCTGTAGGGTGTAGATATAGGTGTTTCTGTAGGGTGTAGATATAGGTGTTTCTGTAGGGTGTAGATAAAGGTGTTTCTGTAGGGTGTAGATAAAGGTGTTTATATAGGGTGTAGCTAAAGGTGTATCTATAAAGTGTAGATAAAGGTGTTTCTACAGGGTGTAGATAAAAGTGTATCTATAGGGTGTAGATAAAGGTGTTTCTATAGGGTGTAGATAAAATTGTACCTATAGGGTGTAGATAAAGGTGTTTCTATAGGGTGTAGCTAAAGGTGTATCTATAGGGTGTAGATAAAGGTGTATCTATAGGGTGTAGATAAAGGTGTTTCTATAGGTTGTAGCAAAAGGTGTATCTATAAAGTGTAGATAAAGGAGTTTCTATAGGGTGTAGCTAAAGGTGTATCTATAAAGTGTAGATAAAGGTGTTTCTACAGGGTGTAGATAAAAGTGTATGTATAGGGTGTAGAAAAAGGTGTATCTATAGGGTGTAGATAAAGGTGTATCTAAAGGGTGTAGATAAAGGTGTATCTATAAAGTGTAGATAAAGGTTTTTCTACAGGGTGTAGATAAAAGTGTATCTATTGGGCGTATATAAAGGTGTATCTTCAGGGTGTAGATAAAGGTGTTTCTATATGGTGTAGCTAAAGGTGTATCTATAAAATGTAGATAAAGGTGTTTCTATAGGGTGTAGCTAAAGGTGTATCTATAAAGTGTAGATAAAGGTGTTTCTATAGGGTGTAGCTAAAGGTGTATATATAGGGTGTAGATAAAGGTGTTTCTATAGGGTGTAGCTAAAGGTGTATCTAATAAAGTGTAGATCTATAAAGTGTAGATAAAGGTATTTCTATAGAGTGTAGCTGAAGGTGTATCTATAAAGTGTAGATAAAGGTGTTTCTACAGGGTGTAGCTAAAGGTGTATCTATAGGGTGTAGATAAAGGTGTATCTATAGGGTGTAGATAAAGGTGTAACTAAAGGGTGTAGATAAAGGTGTATCTATAAAGTGTAGATAAAGGTTTTTCTACAGGGTGTAGATAAAAGTGTATCTATAGGGCGTATATAAAGGTGTATCTATAGGGTGTAGATAAAGGTGTTTCTATAGGGTGTAGCTAAAAGTGTATCTATAAAGTGTAGATAAAGGGATTTATATAGGGTGTAGCTAAAGGTGTATCTATAGGGCGTAGATAAAGGAGTTTCTATAGGTTGTAGACAAAGGTGTTTTTATAGGGTGTAGATAAAGGTGTATCTGTAAAGTGTAGATAAAGGTGTTTCTACAGGGTGTAGATAAAGGTGTTTCTGTAGGGTGTAGATAAAGGTGTTTCTGTAGGGTGTAGATAAAGGTGTTTCTATAGGGTGTAGCTAAAGGTGTATCTATAGGGTGTAGATAAAGGTGTATCTATAAGGGGGGTAGATAAAGGTGTTTCTATAAGGTGTAGCTAAAGGTGTATCTATAAAGTGTAGATAAAGGTGTTTCTATAGGGTGTAGCTAAAGGTGTATCTATAAAGTGTAGATAAAGGTGTTTCTATAGGGTGTAGCTAAAGGTTTATCTATAAAGTGTAGATAAAGTTGTTTCTATAGGGTGTAGCTAAAGGTGTATCAATAAAGTGTAGATAAAGGTGTTTCTATAGGGTGTAGATAAAAGTGTATCTATAGGGCGAGGGCGTAGATAAAGATGTTTCTGTAGGGTGTAGATAAAGGTGTTTATGTAGGGTGTAGATAAAGTTGTTTCTATAGGGTATAGATAAAGGTGTTTCTATAGGGTGTAGACAAGGGTGTTTCTATAGGGTGTAGATAAAGGTGTTTCTATAGGGTGTAGCTAAAGGGGTATCTATAAAATGTAGATAAAGGTATTTCTGTATGGTGTAGATAAAGGTGTTTCTATAGGGTGTAGATAAAGGTGTTTCTGTAAGGTGTAGATAAAGGTGTTTCTATAGGGTGTATATAAAGGTGTTTCTGTAGGGTGTAGATAAAGGTGTTTCTGTAGGGTGTAGCTAAAGGTGTATCTATAAAGTGTAGATAAAGGTGTTTCTACAGGGTGTAATTAAAATTGAATCTTTGGGATGTAAATAAAGGTGTTTCTATGGGGTGTAGATAAAGGTGTATCTATAGGGTGTAGATAAAGGTGTATTTATAGTCTGTAGATAAAGATGTTTCTATGTTGTTTAGATTGATTTTTATATATGACAAGCCCCCATAAAGTACTCATATTTTTAAGCTACAAAACAATAATCTTTTCAATGAATTGGCAACTACTTGCTGGTTTGTAAAAGTCTTGAGCAATAATACAAATTAAGTGATTATGTCGAGTTGTTGATGGAGATGCTAGTTGGTAAGTTTGTAAAAATCATCCAAGCAGTAATACAATGTATCTCACTATCTCACTATGTCGTGTGTTTGGTGGAGATGATATTTGGTACGTTTGTAAAAGTCTTCAGAGCAAAAATACAATGTGAATGAGTGTGCCTTTGGGTTGATGAAGATGATATGGTAAGATTGCGATTAAACACAAGAACATTGATTACTTTAATGTATTATCAGTGTTATTATTTCCTCATCGAAATGGCGAAATATATTTGTTTACAATAAAATGTAATTTTATTTATTTAAAATACAAAATAATTTAATTTTTAAAATTTAACTTATTTACATTGTAATTTATTCACAGATGCTTTATTGATCATTTTGGGATCAATCACTGCCATCATCAAACTTGTTATCTACTAGCAAGTGTCAAGTTCACTAGAACATTGAGTTCAAATAAAAGATAGACAAAGCCATGTCCTAAGCAAAACAAAGCAGACAATGTAACATTTAAGATTAAAACCTAGCCAGTTTCAACAATACCTATGGTTTATTCAAAGGTTTTGAAGACGATAGAGAGAAAATAAATTTAGCAGCATGCCATATTACCTATGTTTTATTCTAAGATTTTGAACACGATAGAGAGAAAATAAATTTAGCAATATTCCACATATTTCCTATATTTTATTATGCGACACATTGGTATTTCTAAATGAGATAATGCAATAGATGATAGACAGACACAAGATAGTGTAGAATGGAAATGCCAAACCATCGTGTCTAAGTCTGGCTTGTACTAAAAACCTAACATTAACATCAATTGTGGTTTTAAAAAATGTTTTGTCAACAAATATATCCAACAACAGTCCATCAAGTCAACCTCATAATGAACGAAAATTTAAACTGAATGCATCGAAATAGAAGCGTTAAAAGATGTTTTGTTATTAAGTTATTGGGTTGGGGGGGGGCAGAACTAAACATACACGAATTAAAAGATTTATGCTGCATTCTAAACTTCATTCCAATAATAAAGCATATTCAGATTCAACCATTTTCTTGGATTAATACATTTACAAACTTTTTCTAAGTCACAAAATTTAGATTGTCGAGATTAAAATAACACTTTGCAATCATAAAGAAACGTGTTTTTTTTGTTTTTTTTTATTTGTAAATTTATTTATTTTTCTGTTTACACTTGTTCAGTTACTAGTACGTTTATTTGCTTAAAGCAATTCTTTGTTCAGTGAGCAATTAAACAGAATATCGTTTACAAAAGGAACATAAAATGTATCAACTAAAATGGTAAAGTCGTATTACACTCCTACAGTCAAGTGAGATAAACTTCTATAGCAAAACGAGATAAAATTTTTGTTGTTAAATTTCCTTATCTCGTTACTAGTTGGCCAAGCCTTGTGTTAGCTGTCATTTGGTGTTTTTTTTTTCTTATTTTTTTTTCCTTTCAAGCCGCAGGCAATTAAAAAAAAAATTGTGCTTACATGATTGCAATAGTAATTCAGTAAAATACTCTGCTTACATATACACAATCTTAATTCAAATAACGACTGTGCTGATATGGACACAATCTTACATCAGTTAACAGTTATGCTGACATAGATATAATCGTAACTCAGTTTACAGCTATGCTGACATGGACACAATCTTAATTCAATTAACAGTTTAATTTTTAAGATTAATGTTTAAAAAATTAATGTAAAAATAAATCAACTTAAATGAAATTACATCAACAATGTGAAGAGACTTGAAATATCCGAATTATGTGCCAGTTTAAGATTTGGTTTAGAAAAATTGGTTTATATGATTTGGTTTAGAAGACTTGGTTTATATGACTTGGTTTATATGACTTGGTTTAAAAGACTTGGTTTATAAAACTCGGTTCAGACGTTTTAGTCCAAAATACTTCCTTTAAGTCGTGATCTATGAACTAGAATATACACAGGGAAATATGCATCTTTTCCATGAAATAGCATTGTGCAGGATATAGAGGTAGGGTGGAGCCCTAGAAGCATGTTTGGAAATGTTGTACGTCTGTGTCCTAGATATGACAGATCATTGTGCAGGATAGAGAGGTACGGTGGAGCCCTAGAAGCACGCAATGGCAATGTTGTACGTCAGTGTCCTAGAGATGCGGCGCAAAGCTCTTTTATATTTATTAAAAAGAATATGAATAATCCCCACCAATATCGCCTGATTTAAACACAAAAATCTATTGAACTTCATATGGTCATATCTAAGTATAACAAGAATAGCAAATGATTAAATTTACAGCTACGGTAAAATTATTAACATAACAGCCCACGTTTGTAGGATGTCTAACTTCTAGATCAAATATTAAAAGAAACTCTTTTTTCCGCTGTCATTTGATTAGAAGCACCATACTATAACCCAAAAGAAGATTCTTCGTGTGATAAATTTAAGTCTGTAAGCAAGGCATCGAAGAATGGCGCCCCTGACAGACGGCCCCAAACAGGTATCTAACATTATATTTTATTTTCTAGATATTTTGTCGTATATTTATGTATATATATTATATGTATATATAGGTTTCGATATAGAATATCTTCTATGTCTTCAAAAAACTATTTTTAAAAAATTTAATTTAAATAAAGAAGAACTAATTTTTAACATATGTAAACTTGTGTAAAAATAATATATGTACAATGGGTACAAATTCATTTTTAATGTTTTTAAATTTTACCGATTCAATTCTTGTACTTAGAATCGCATAATGCAATATATGCTTAATATTGGTTGCAGTCACTTGTAGTTAAACAATCATATTACACAAGATGATTGATTACATTAGAGTACGTATAGATACTTACAAATATAATTTTAGAAATTTAAAATCTTCATACTGTATCATATAATATCATGGTTGTAAATTAAAAGACAGCATCTCGCAAATTTAATACAGTCAAAGACCCCATGGTGGGCTAGATCATTATTTAAAATATCTACTGAATGTGTAATTTAAATTAATTATAATACCATTAAAAAAAAACAAAAAAAATGGAAGCTTCTACTTCTAATTATCATCATCATCACCAGTGGCGCTACAGCCCATTCAGGGTCCTGGCCTGCTCCACCACATCCTTCCATTCGGAGTGATCCATGGTTTTCCGCCTCCATGCGCAAACCCCCAACTGGCGTCTATCAATCTCCACATCATCGATCCATCTCAGCCTTGGGCAACCGGTGAGTCGTCTGCCCTTAAGCTTCTGCCTGTACACAACTTTTGCAGCTCTATATTCCGGCATCTTTCAAACATGTCCTGCCCAGCGTAGTCTGCCTTTTCATCATTGTGACTATGGGTGGGTGAGGCTTCTAAACAATTATTTTAAATGTTTGTGGAAGAAGAAGAATTTAACTACTTCATTAATTGATATCTCCGTCAGTTGTTACATCCGTCAGTTGTTATCTCAGTCAGTTTTCTCCGTCAATTTTTATCTCCGTCAGTTGTTATTTCCAACAGTTGGTATCTCAGTCAGTTGTTATCTCCGTCAGTTGTTGTCTTCATCAGTAGTTATCTCCGTAAGTTGTTTTCTCCGTCACTAAAGTTGATATTCTCCCTGGAGCTCCTTATCAGTTAAAGACCCAATCAGTTGATTTAGGTGCCCATCTCTACACGTACATTTCAGTTAGTCGTACCTAAGTTTACGTGCCCGTCAGTTGATTTGCGGCCGTGTATTAAAGTAACCTGCTATTGCGCTGCCCATCACCTGGGTTGTCCCTTAACTTAGGCTGAGACATTAAGTGCACCGCTATTCTAAATTAGGAAGATTTTTATTGACCTTTACTTATCCCAGTATTTTCTTGAGTATTCTGCTTGTCAGACACGGTCCACCCTTACCTTTCACTTGCATCAACTCTGGCCAACTAAGACCACGATTTGTTTGAGACGCCGTGGTCTTATCAGGTACCTTTGCATAAAATGAACAGCGGAAGTAAATCTTTCTTGAAGACACTTGTATGTACAGCAATGTAGGAGATCACGAATATGTACAGCAATGTCAGAGATAATGAAGATGTACAACAATATGGGAGGTAATGAACATGTAACACAATGTCAGATAAAATGAAAATGTACAACAGTATCAGATACCATGAACATGTACAACAATGTCAGATAACATTAATATGTACAATAATGTCAGAGATGATGAACACGTACAACCATGTTAGATATAATGAACATGTACAGCAACGTCAGATATAATGAGCATGTACAACAATATCAGAGATAATGAACATCTTTAAGGGCGCATAATTCGGATATTTCAAGTCTATTCACATTGTTGTCGTAATTTAATTTAAGTTGATCTATTTTTAGATTGATTTTTTTTAACATTTATTTTGTTGTACTTTCAACGTTATATTGATCGTATTACAGATTATGTCATCTTATGTCGCGTATGACATCGTAAGTCATCACGGCGTATGACAGAGTATCGCATAAAATGTAATCTTTATAAAGCATATTTTGTCATCGTATGTCCTCGTATCACAGCTATGTCATTGTATCACAACGTCTGTCATCGTATGTAATCACATTGTATGTGAGCGTATGTTTTCGTATGCCATCGCATCATAGCGTATGGCATCGTGCCTTATCGTATGTCATCGTATCGTATGCCATCATATGTCATCGTATGAAATCATGTGTCATCGTAAGTCATTGTATCATTTAAGAAACAACTAAAAGCTTTATTTTTTAAAATAGATTACGGAGGAGCAGAGCGCAGTGACCAGCTAAAGTGGCATGGATACCAGCGCGACATACATATCAAATCAATCAATCAATGTAATGATTGAAGCGATGTGAAGCATTGCGCACAGGAAATAGGTTTCCTTTTTTGCGCACCAATAAAAACGTGTATTAAACATCTATGACTGACCTAGCCGCAGCGCAAAATCAATAGTTATTTTTCATTCGTATTTTGCTAGTACAAAGAAGAACGCGAAAAGCCAAAGGATATCTCCGATAATGGGATTTGACGCGGTCTAAACTGCATTTTTTTCCACCCTTCAGATACTCAGAGGAAAGTATGCAAAAATATTTCACAAATCCTTCATAAGTATCGATTTCTCCACATCAAACCTTGCATTTCTGCCACATAATCAGAGGCGCCGACGTCTGTGGTATTTCCTATCATTAGATGGAAAAGTAGTGTTTATGATTCATGGTATATTGTGTGTCGGATTTTACTTTTTAATCTCTACCACTGTGGCTATTCAAGAATGATACGTTTCCCAACGTTCATAAAGTATATTAAATCTGAACAAAAATCTCTCAGTAACTAGCAGTGATTCTTTCAGGGATCTCCGGGGGTGGTGAGAGAAACAACCCACTGTAGTAAATCAAGTGCCCCACGGAAGCAAGTGTACAATAAAACGAAAAAATATATTTGTTTATTAAGCATGACTATATTTTTTATAACAGTTTTAAAAAGAACAGTGGCCTATGCATTTAACCGATTATAGATATAAAATATCCCTAAGCTGGATATATTTATTATGATCCGTACGTTTCAGTCTGATATTGTTTGCGGGTTACTGTATTCGATTTTTAATATCGTAGTTTCCGCTCCTGCTATAAGCCAAATGACTTACGTCATGTTGTTTTCATTTATTTATTTATAATGCTTTTTTTATTGATTTTTTTTTTTTTGAAACTTCACAAGTTTAAGACTTTAAAAAAACATTTTTTTTTTAAAATTTACCTAACATCGATCTAAAGCATGGGTCTCAAACTCGCGACTCACGACCCGCGGCTCCTTAGACGATATTTTGCGGGACGCGATATGAAATCAAATTTAGTGGTAATGTGGCCTGCGCGGTTTCCCCATTATCATATCTATAATGTGAGCCTCCGCGACGGTTTCAGTCGAACCTAACCTTCTAGTCTATTTCTGATTTTTATCATTTTTGTATAGATCGACGTTGATTATAATGGTAAAAACCTTTTTAAAATCGGACTCAAACTTTTTTAATTTGTGGCATCTTATAAGACAAACATTGGCAAAGTGCGGTTTTGAGGAAAAAAACGCTTTGAATATTTTATATACAAATTCAACATTTTAAAAAGTAAG